CATGCTGATGGTCGCTCAGCATGTGGTCCAGCTCAATGATCTCAAAGCTTCTTCACATCTGCACTGTCTTCTTATACGGCCCTAATGCCAACATTTGGCCCTAATTTTGGCATTAGGGCCAAAATTCAGGCCACAGCACAACCAGCGATGGCAACATCTTTGTCACAGGACAATATGTCCATTCTGAAGGCAGCTACTGATCCGATTAACGATGGCACCAAAAGGAAACTACTCGCGTTAGCATTTTAGAAGCTAACAACTAGCATGCCTAAGCTGCTCAACCACTGGATTATACATGTGAACACAGAAAAAAATATTATGAAAAAAGATTGACATACAATATCTGTGACTGTAAAGCTTGCCAGATTATTCATTGTATATAAATGTGTCTTGTGTTTAATATTACATGCATTAAAGGTTATTTTCATGTCAGCCATTTTCTTGATAAAATTTAGTTTTAAATGTTTAATCCAGAGGGTGACCAGCCTTAGAGTGCTGCTTGTTATTTAGTTTTTTTTAATACTAGCGCTGACTTGTCCATACTAATGGACAGCAGAGCAGGTATGTTAATCACTAGCATCTCCAAAGCTGAGACAAGTGAGTAATTTCCTCGTTCTCCAGGGCTGGCGGCTAAGTTGTCTCTGCCAGCCTTTCATTAATCAGATCAGCAACCGAGAAGGCAGCTGACCAGCCGGGGGGAAAACCCGACTCCATGGATCAGGTCTGTTTGTCCAGAACATCTCATAGTGTCACATTTGGATTCAGTACTTGAGAACTTGGAGGCCAATTTAACTTCCAAACTTTTCTGTGTTCACTAAACTGTTCCTGAAGCATTGTTGCTTTATAATAGGATGCGTTTATCTGCTGTCTCCCTCCTCACTGGTCTGCTGCTTTGTAGCCACAAACACACCAAACTGTAATCCTCTTTGTATTCTGACACCTCTCTATCAGGAGCAGCAGTTTGAACTGCACTGGTTCATCTGAACACATGGAACAGTGTTCAGCATCCGGTGTGGATCAGGAAGCCTCTCCAGGCTTACTGATGGCAGGGATGAGCCATCTGCAGTTCATCCCTGTTCCTTGGACCAACTTTGATTTTGGCTTAAATTCTCCCTTTTTTGCCAATTTTGTCATCAAATTAACTTTGATGACAAAATTATCCCTGCCTCAAATATATTATATGCCATGATGAAGAGATAATTAGTGTGATTTGTCTGATTGTGTGTATTGACAATAGCAAACTATTGGCAATATTATTCAGCATGATAACATGATCCTCCAAGCTAATAACTTGGAGGATCGGCATAGCAACAGTCTCCATGGGGCTGACAGCAAACAAGAAAAGTTTGAAAACTTTTCCTGTTTGAGCTCATGCGGTCATGACATTCTTATGATGCCCTGCACAGATTCGCTCATCACGTCTCCTCTCAGTATCTGGAGCATGATGGGGCAGCACCGCAATTCTTGTCGTGATCCTTTCGTTCCTTCCAGCAGTGGGTGTCAGAGCGACTAGCTATATTTATTGTCTCGCCTTTTAGAGACAATAAATCACCATGCATGAGAGTAAACTGAAGTGTCATTGCATCCACAGGTCAAGGGTTAAAAATGTCCCATCCAGGAAACTCTACTTTACTCTACTTTAAGTTGGTTTCACACTTAAAATCTGATTTTCCCTGTGTCTGGTGGTGGAGGTGGTGGTGGAGGTGGTGGAGGTGGTGGTGGAGGTGGAGGTGTGATGGTGGTGGTGGAGGTGGAGGTGGTGATGGTGGTGGTGGAGGTGGTGGTGGAAGTGGTGGAGGTGGAGGTGGTGGTGGAGGTGGAAGTGGTGGAGGTGGAGGTGGAGCTGGAGGTGGAGGTGGTGGTGGAGGTGGTGGTGGAGGTGGAGGTGGAGGTGGAAGTGGTGGAGGTGGAGGTGGAGGTGGTGGAGGTGGAGGTGGTGGTGGAGGTGGAGGTGGAGGTGGTGGAGGTGGTGGAGGTGGAGGTGGAGGTGGTGGAGGTGGTGGAGGTGGAGGTGGAGGTGGAGGTGGAGGTGGAGGTGGAGGAGGTGGAGGTGGTGGAGGTGGAGGTGGAGGTGGTGGTGGTGGTGGTGGAGGTGGAGGTGGTGGAGGTGGAGGAGGTGGTGGAGGTGGTGGGTGGAGGTGGAGGTGGTGGAGGTGGAGGTGGAGGTGGAGGTGGTGGTGGTGGTGGTGGTGGTGGAGGTGGAGGTGGAGGTGAAGTTCTTGTTTCTGAAGTTTCAAGGATTCCTCAGACAAGAATCAAAGCACCACTCTGGATATGTGCTTGATGGAGGTTGATAATGTGATGTTAAATTGAAGAAAGTGGATTTTGCATAATAACGCTCCTTTAACAGCAGCATCACCAATAATCAGAGCGTAGAGCATGGCTCTTAGAGTTTCTGCCTGCTTTTTTTCAGACGTGTCTCAGTCATGCAGCATTCTGCTTAGATGTGTCAACCCTAGTCTCTAGATGCTCAGTTTGACTGATATTTCCTCTGGCAGTCATTCAAGTGCCTTTTCTTTTCTAAGTGGGTTAGATGAGGAGATCATAACACATAGAGGCCTACCTGCTGTGAGAAGTAATTCAGTATTTATATGAGGAGGAAAGATGATATCACTGTGTGTGTATGTGTGTGTGTGTGTGTGTATGTGTGTGTGTGTGTGTGTGTGTGTGTGTGTGAGAGAGAGAGAGAGAGAGAGAGAGAAAGAGATGGAGAGAGAGAGAGCAGAAGCTTTTAAAAGGGTTTTTATTCATTAAAATAAAGACAAAATAATTTGATGTTGACTTTTTAAACTTTCTGGGATCGGTCCTCAGGCCTTGTAAGTTTTAAGAATATATATTTAATTCCAAAAATTAACTGTGCTTAGCATCTTTCAATTGAATTCAGTTCAATTATATAGCACCATTTTACACTAAACTCGAGGCACTTCAGAAACAAGTCATTTCAGCTCATCACATGCACATTCTAACTAATCAAACAGTTCAGTTCATTTAGTTCAGTTCAGTTCTGTTTTCAAACAAAGGAAACTCAGCAGATTGCATCGAGTCACTGATCATTCTCTCCTCCTGGGCCAACAGGAGTAACAGAAAATTGCTTCACTTTACAGCAATCCCTTATGCTGAGCATGCATGTGGCCACAGAGGAAAGCCAAATTCCCCTTTAACAGGAAGAAACCTCCAGCAGAACCAGAACCTGGTTCAGTATGACTTGGAGTTTGAGAAGACAGAGCAGAGAGACAAAAAGAAACAGAAGAGTCCATGGGGATGCTGTCTGTGTACCTTATAATTGCGATTTGTTTGCATTGATTAGTTGATTCAAGTAAAGTTAACTAACCTTCAAATGTTCTTTTATTCAGTCAAAAGATCATGTTTGACACTGTGAACTATATATTACCATACTGTATTTGACTCCTTTCAATACACATTCTAATGACAGTATTTTCAAAATGAACATTTTGGTTAAAATATAAATCTTGTCTCTGATTCAGCTAATCTTCCATATACTCCTTATAGGCTTTTGAAAATGTTATCAAACAGACTTTTTAGTTGATAGCAAATAATATTCTGGGAATGTTCATGTTTTTCTCTGAACAGATATTCTTGAAACCTCAAACCACAAGCAAATAGAAAGCTGTATTTGAGCAGAAAGCAGCCAGAATCTGAATCGTCAAAAGCCTGGAACAGACTGTCTGGTTGGGGTAAAACCTGCACATACCTTCGTTTCCAATCAGAACCTCTTAAAATTGCCGAAAAAAGTGAGCAAGTCAGGATTTTTTTTGTTTGTTTGCTTTTTTTGGTTTTGCTGCATTGATTTTTATAACCCTGAACTCTGTCTTGGATCCAGTAAAGCCAGTCAGATGTTATAGTGATAACTGTCTGACTGTCTGAAAATGAACACAGGTTTAAAAAACAGAATCATCTTATGTCAAATTCTAACTAATGTCAATGAAAATGAGCAACTGTTTTAAGATGGTGTTACTGCTTGGGATCATTCAAGTTAGAAAGTTATCATATCAGTAAATAAAGAAATTCAAATGAAAAGAGTAACTATTGTGCATAAAAAATTAGCTTATTGAAATGCTTGAAAAGTTTATGCATCACTGGATGGATGCTTTAAAATTACAGTCATGATTTCTTAGATCAACAGCGTTTCATCAAAAGATGAACACAACAAATCTGTGCTTGATCGAGGAAGAGTGCACAGTTTAAAGGAGGTGAATGATAAAGAGTTGTACTGGATATTATTTCTGTCAAATTAATTTTAGTAACTGTAAAAACTAACCTGTCATTTAGTTCTAATTTGCTTCACGTCTGTGTTGGTAAAGATCAGTTTAAATTCCCTGCTAATCTTCTTTTGGGGTGGAAATCAAAACAGCTTGTAAGTTAACAAGTGGTTCTCGTTTGGCAGATCTTCTCAGAGAAACTCTATGAGAATTTGTCTGCTCTGTTCACATCAGTTATCCTGAACCTTTTGCTGCGTGTGCAGTTCTGCCCAGGTTGCCATTTTCCAGCAGCCTTCTTGTGATTTCATGAACTGAAGAGATGATGAGTTCGCACTGAGACTGCGGAGAGTTGAACGGTTATATTTGGCACCTGATTATCATCTGATTTGATAAAGTACTTGTCCAACACAGATCATTTACCATAAAGAAAATTAAGGAGCTTGTTTTTTTTTTTTTGGAGGGGGTTTGTAACTGTCTTCAAAAAGAAGGCGTCTCTGGGGCAAAGGGATCAATAAGAAAATCAAAAAACTTTCTAATGGGTTGCCATGCCTGTAATGTGCACCAGTTTTTTTAACTACAAAAAGAAAATCAATGTCACCAGCCTGATTTTTGTTCATTGCTCTGGTTGCGTGTAAGGTGGAACATTTAGAGACTATTCAGAAGTTACTTTACCATCCTCTATTATTAATCATAACCTTTTCTTAAATGTCATTAGATTTCTTTTCTTATCCTTCCTTAATGAACCTCTCCCTGCGGTGTCCTGTGCTCTACTCCTGGCAGGAGGTGAAGTACTTCCAGTTTCCTGGTGAACTCCTCATGAGGATGCTGAAGATGCTCATTTTGCCGCTTGTCGTGTCCAGGTACCTGCACTCACCGCCCCGCCAAACCTGCCCACAATTCTGCAGTGGCCAGAATCAACACCTCTGGGCTGCAACTTTTTCACATTGTGTCCCAAACTCTTATGTATTTTCTGTGGCTTTTATGTGATAAACATCAAACCACCAAGCTCTGCTATGGTTTCATTGTGCCTCAGATTTTGATCTGTCTCATGTGACATTTTTAGTGAAGGCTAAAAAGTTCAGTTTTGTCCTCATCTGACCTGAAAACCTGTTTCCACATTAATTGTCCCCTACATGAATTTAAAAAATGAGAACTTCATCTGACTTTTGTCCATTCCGTTCCACTTGACATCAAGATTTAAGGAGTGGACAACACTGTAAAACATTTAGTTATGTCTTCTATCTTCTGTCAAATAAATTTAGCAAGTTTTAGATTTTGAACCTAAATGTGTGAGTTTGTGAAAGATAAACTTACACTAGTAAGTTGTGTTATATGTAATTCATTTAGTCAAATCTGCAACAGTTGAATAAACCAGAATGTATGTGCAGATGGAGTGTGTTCCATTGATCTCACTCTTGTGTGTTATGAAGGAAAATGTTCATTTAAATGCAAAGCTGGAGAGAAAATGTCCTGTTCACACTAAATATTTCACAGCAGAGTTTATTGTGATGTTTAGTGAAATTCAGATCACAACATTTCTTCATGCAATTTGAAACAAGAACTTTTTGGAGATGTAGTGTGTAACTTTTAGAAAAAGTTACATACAAATTTGTTGAATTTGTCACAATCCTAAAGAAAAGATGTGCACAGTTTAAAGGACTGTGCACATAATAGAGAAATGTGTCCTTTAACCAGGTGAGGGCAGTTGTTTTTTTCTTGTATATTGTGAAATAATTATTTGGATTTAATTGCAGCATTAAGTTTAATGAGCTTAAGAAACAATGCTTAGACAACTGGTGTCTTGTTGTTAGATCAACTATGTTGACTAAATAGCATTTTCAAGGCAGCAGGAAAACTTTCAATTTCAAGTTAAACCACCTTCAAATGTTTTACAGTGCACTATCAGTTAATGTTGATAGATCTTCTGTCCTAAGCTTCGTTTCATAGGTAAAACTTTGTCCAGTTTTACCTTTTGGCCTCTTCGTTGGTCTGTTAACTAAGATAGTGACCATGTAGTCCAATAGTGAGACCAGCTACTTAAGGCAGTTTGACATGTTTTTTTTTATCCAAAGTGTCACCAGATGGTTACAGATGCAGTTGTTTGCTTCTTTTTGGTTTATTAGCAGAATGTTTTATTATAATCTGAAATACTTCTGCTTATGTGCATAACTTAATAATAATTTAACATAGTTGAAATGTTGCACATGCTGAAGCAAAGAAACTCATAAAATGTGTTCAAATGCTTATTAATATATTGAAAAGATGGCATTTGAATTCAATGCTGAAATGAGTTGTTTGCATGAACTCAACTTTACAACAAGGCATGTATTTGTATGTCTTCCTGTAACGCTTATGAAAGTACTTTTTTTCCCCCACAGATAACATAATGCTTTACTATTTACAGAAGAATGTTACAAATGCATGTTATAAAAAGATGCATGTTTAAAAGGAGCAGCCTGTTGGCTGAATTCAGAAGTTGCTCCTGTTCTTTGGTCTGATCCCAGTAAAGGAACAGACAGCAGCGTTAATAATCAAGTTCCACTGAATCGTGACAGAAAAAAACACTTTTGTTTCTTAGTGAAACACAACAATCATCCTTCTCCTTTCTATAATAATCGAAGCTCACAGTTTATTATTCCTTTCTGTTGATTGAAATGTGATTCATGCCTCAGTGCAAAAATACTTAATTACAGCCTTGACTCTAAGGAAATCTAACTTTTGCATTCAGTAATAAAAGCTGGAGATGTGCGCTGTTATCATTACTATCACCAACGATGCATCAAATGTCTCTCATTGAAGTTTCATCAAAGCAACAACTGTAGGTCTGCATTTCAAGCCGCCTAATAGTCAGATACTGATTCAGATGTTCATAAAAAGAATCGCTAAACAGAACCCAAGAAAAAGATCCACTGCAAATTCTCCAAATGGTTCTAATCACTTCAGTCATTAAAGAAACGTTAAAGACTCGCTTTTAGTCACGTGTTGAAGCGGCCTGTTGGCTGAATTCAATGTAAAAAATAAAAAATCATCTCATGCTTCTGTTACTCACATGTGAAAACATTATTTATTTCTTAGGTTTCTGCTAATATGTGAGTTTGTCCTGAATGAGTAACTTATCGATTCACTGTGGGTGAATGCAGCAATTTCAGTCACACTGACTGCTTTTCCATTAGCCATAGGTTTGCGCAAATTGAAATTACAAAAAATAAATTTACTCAATGGAAACACATTTTTGATCAAAAGTTTTTGCAGTAGGAAGCAGTGGTTTTTCAGCCATATCAGAATATGTATAATATTTCACAAATCTGCAATGGAAACATTTTTTTCATGTCACACGAGTTACATGATCAACAGCTGGATGTTACTACTGGTGGAAAAGATGAAGAAGATGACAGGAAGTTGCCTTCTTCATGGTGTACTATACTATATCCATGTGTTGGGCAAATATGAGGATGTATTTCTGAAAACAAAATAAAAATGCTAAATTAAAAAGTGAACTTGAAAAATGAAATGGTTCTGTTATTCCTAAAGAAAGCAGCACTCTGGTAAATCCTATTTATCTGTGAACACCCAAAGCCCTGAAAACCTTCAGCGTTTAGAAAAAGCTTAATTTGCTTGAAATCAGCAAGAAAGAATATGTAATTGAACAGCAGCAAACAGCGTTTGATTCTGTGTGATGTGAACAAATAAAAAACATCCCACTCTTCTTTCTTGCAGCTTGATGTCTGGACTGGCGGCCCTCGATGCCAAGTGCTCCAGTCGGCTCGGCCTGATCACCGTGTCATATTATCTCTGGACCACGTTTGTGGCCGTGATCGTGGGGATCATGATGGTGTCCATCATCCACCCGGGCGGAGCGGCCCAGAAGGAGGACTCTGAGGACAGCGGCAAGCACATCATGAGTTCTGCCGACGCTCTGCTGGATCTAATCCGGTGAGACAGCAGCAGTCTGAGCTTCAGAATGAAGCTCAGACTGTATTTTCAACTCACTGCATAAAAGTAACTGTAATTTAGTGCAGCTCACAGTCAACATTTCGTCTTCTTTTTTGCTTCTTATCTATGAGTCTGTAGAAGATAACCCAGGTCCAAATGTGTTCTGAAACTGTCTGTTTCATGGAGAAATCCTAAAATACACAACTACAACTGTGGAAGGTGAAATCTATCGGTCAGATAATCTCCAAACAGGCTATGTACAATCTCAGGAAACTTCCACAGGGTTAAAAAAAAGTCTGGATGTTTATTCACAGACTAATGAGTCGGCCTCACTGAGGCTCAGAGCTTTAATGCATATTTCTCAAGTTTTTGTTGCAAATTTGACCCAACACAACCTGAAAGTTTGAAACTAGAAAATTCAAGGTGCATCAGCTGAACGAGCCTCCACTCACAGAACATTCTGGATTATCTGCTGTTCGTCGCTGTTTCTCTGCCATGTTCAGCACCTCGTCCTCTACATTCGTCTTACTTCTTTGGCCTGACCATTACAACCAACATGTCCATCTGCACAGTCCAGTTCATGGATATGCTGTCGTCTCCTCGGCTCCCCACTCCCCATATAAAACCATAACAAACCATCCTAATGTCCTTCAAAAAACATCTTGAGTCTATTAAAAACTCATGGTTCGTCATGAAGAACAGGAAGTCCACTGAGTTTTCAACCCCCTCAGCTGATATTATCAGCCAAACTATTTCTAACTATTTCTGTGCTGGTTGGAAATCCACCCAACACGGAGCAGAAACAGAGAAGATCAAGGCCGTTTCTTCCTTCCCCCGGGAGAGTTAGCTATATGGATTTGATCATCTTACCACAGAATCATGGGAGCCTCATTGACCACTCTAATTCCCTGCCCGTACTTGCTTGTGTTCTTGCTTCAGTTGCCACATCAGAGATTGTCCCTAAATATCTTTGTTATTGTCTTACATTAATCTGAGTGAGCTCACCATCAATACAGCACTAAAGATTAAGGACGGCTGTCTGAGGCATGTCAGGAGAAATCCATGAGGGCATTACTGTCCATCTGCAGTGTGCTTAAGAACACATGGATAAGCCACAAGGCAGACGGAGCTGCATGTCGATCAGGCATGAGATCATATTTTGAATTACTGTTGGCTGTAAAAAACAGTTTCTAATAAGATTCTTTTGAATTAACAGAAGAAATACTGGTCATTCACTAAGCATGTAGTTATGTTTGATGCACACATGATGACAGTTATAGGAAAAAAGCACCTTGTAGATGATACTGATAAACACAACACTTATAACAACCTATTTCACTTAAGAAAATTGATAAAAAGGAAATAAGTATTAACTGCAGCGACAAAATTATTCACTTCTATGCCTTCAAACTCACTCAAGCTAAAGTGACATTCTTATTATTTAGGGTTGAATTTGATGTTGGCCCGTTCATCCCTGAGGTTTAGAAGTTTGTTCATGGGAATATCTGACTGATCTGTCAGATCAGACACTGATGCTGGACGAGAAGGCCTCCATTTGAAATGTTCCAGAGGGTAATTTGTCAGAGCAAGGTCCAAACTCCTTCTTGAACTTGATCACGTAGTGACAGAAAGGGGCCGTCCTTAAACTGTTTCCATGACGCTGAGAGCAAAATGTCTCAGTATGTTGAAGCTTTGAACAACATACTTTTTCTGAAACGTCAAAAAAATTCATAATCCCTCCTCTGAACCAAACTATACACTTGACACAAAACACTCAGTCATACTGCTCCATATACCAAGACAGATTCATCCATCTGTCTGCCACACAGGTCAGATGTCTCCACTACTCCAAAGTCCAGATGACATAAGTAACAGTTGACTGTGAAATATTTATGGAAACAGGATGAAATTGAAACTGAAAAAATACACACACCCACACACACCCACCCACCCACACACACACACACACACACACACACACACACACATGTATATATATATATATATATATATATATATATATATATATATATATATATATATATATATATATATATATATATATATATATATATATATATATATATATATATATTATATATATATATATATATATATATATATATATATATTTTTTTTTTTTTTTTTTTTACTTTCAAATTATTTGTTCAGCTTTTTGTTCAGTTTCCATTCTTTAAACCTTATGGCCCCAATTTAGTACTGTATATGTCTGATTGTTTATCATTTATTAAACACATCTTATCTCCTATCGCAGTAGATTAGCAGGAGGAGATAATCTTCCTGCAGCTTGTATTTTATGAACATCCTTGGTTTCTAAATGAGGTTTATAAATGCAGGGTCAAGGTTGCTGCTGACTCCGCTCTGGAACTGGCATTGACTGCCATCTTGTTCAGCCCTTGTGAGCTGTGGAGACTCTTTTCACAGAACACAAATGAGGTTTTTAATTAAAACAAGACGTTTTCTTCATATTTTAAGTTCAGCTCAGTTTAGTCTGGGCTGAGGAGAGACTGTCTCTGATGTTCTCTGTTAAAGTCATTGATTCTTACTGATTCAGCTGCACAACTTCAGCTACAGCATGCAACAAAACACCAAAGGAAATGTTTATTGAAGAGTGATTTGGATTTCCTGACACCAGCTGAGTGTAGTTTTATAAGCCCAGAGAGACGGAGTGATAGACCTTTTGTAAATGAGTTCATTTTAATCAGTTGTCTGTGAGATGAATTTAGTCTCCTTGGAGCAAGTTCACAGTTGTTTACATGGTGTTCTTATTTTGTCCAAATCACTCAAAGACTCTACTCTTTAAAAATATGCTTGTTATGTCTGATTGAAGTTTCATGAGTATAATAGTTTGGAGCACAAAATGTAGCCATAATTGTAAACCGTAAAAAAAGATTAACATAATAAAACAGACCTCACTACAGAAAGAACCAAGTTACTTTGTGTGTGTGTGTGTGTGTGTGTGTGTGTGTGTGTGTGTGTGTGTGTGTGTGTGTGTGTGTGTGTGTGTGTGTGTGTGTGTGTGTGTGTGTGTGTGTGTGTGTGTGTGTGTGTGTGTGTGTGTGTGTTTTTAACATCTTTCTTTCTTTTTCTTCCTTTGCAGAAATATGTTCCCATCAAATTTGGTCCAGGCCACTTTTCAGCAGGTAAGATTCAACAGAGTTCTTTGAAGGTACAACTGTTCCTCTGTCAATTGTAGATTTTTTTTTTTTTTTTAGTTTAAATAAAGACATTAACAATAACCAACTACTGGAAAGAAAACTTCATAAGTATGTGAGAAACTGATGAAGTCAGACTGAACATAGCTTTAATAGATAATAACAGAAGAGGTGAAATACAACAAATCAATCTGAATTGTTGTAAAATCAGAGGTTGGAAGATTTTAGGACATTTCCAAGTTGGAAACATAAAACCATAGAAATGAACAGTTTTCCAAAATTAATTAAAATATATGAGATTAAAAGGGAATAAAACTGGAATATGAAACAATGAAAGGTAACTTCTAACAGGGATTTTAAATACTGAAGGAGATAAAACAGCAAATTCAGCTGAAATGACCAGGTTAATTTAAGTATTGCATACATCATCGAAATACTGGGTGTTACTCTAACTAATGTCATGAAAGAGCTTCAAAAATAATCTTTAATATGTGCTGAATATGGATTATTGAATCTGTCAGATTTCAGAGGAGGCTCCTTACATTACCTTAAGATCTGTGGTGGTTTGAAATAAATCTGCTAAAATTCTAAAGGGGCTCAAAATAAAGTTCTGCTTGCAACCTCTGTTGAAAAGCAATGTTTTTCATTCAGCTGTTTGTCAAAATATCACCTTAGTTTCCAGATCATTTCAGTTGAAATGCTTGAGAAAATTTCCCTGAAATCCATTTGTATGTTCTGGTTCAAAAAGATCTTAACACAATTTATTCAACCTCATGAAAAGTGTCACCATCTCCCCTGACAACAGTACCAAACACGGAGCCAGCTCATCATCAAGCCAAAGCCGACGGTGAGTCAGGCCCAGTCAGAGTCCACCACACGGCGGCCGCTCATCTACGGCATCCAGGACGATAACGGCAGTGACGTCCAGAACTTTGCTCTTGACCTCACCCCACCTCCGGACGTGCTGGTGCGCACTCGTGAAGGAACTAGTGACGGAATGAACGTCCTCGGGATTGTTATCTTCTCGGCCACCATGGGTACGTGTTCCAACTAAGTTTGGGATTTGGAACCATTTCAGAATGATGTGTTTTTGACATCCTGTTGTTTTGACAGGCATCATGTTAGGAAGAATGGGCCCCAATGGAAGCGCCTTGGTCAACTTCTGCCAAAGTCTGAATGAAGCGGTTCTTAGAATTGTGGCCATTGTCATATGGTGAGGGCCTTTAATGATACTTATACATACATATAAGTATAGGTTCTGTTGAAGCTTGATACATATTTGTTGAAACTGTCGCTGTGTTGTGACAGTTTATTATGGGACAGATAATCTGTGAAAAAATATAGCGCCTCTGCCTTCTCCCAGTGCTCCCAGTTCTAACTAGAAACAACCATTCAGAGCTAGGAGGTGGGCCTCACCGTTGCCAGTTATCAAAGCCTGCCGTGAATGCTAAGACTGGCTAGCATGGCGACCAATGACAGCAGATAAACAGTTTTCATGTAATAGTTAGTCATCTCTCCACTATTAGCACATTTAGCAGCACATACACCAGCATGTGACAGCACTAAGGCCCTCCCCCTGGCTCTGATTGGTTGTTTTTGGTTTGAAGCAGAGGAGCTTGATTGGTTTTCACAGACTGTGAAAAAAAAACAACTTATTTTCAATAAAAGTTACACATTGCAGCTTTAAAGCTTTGTGTTACAGGGAGTACAGAGAAAACTGAACATTGAAACACATTTTCTTTACATTTCAAAGAAAAGAATTTAGTAAACTTTAGAGAATAATTCTTCAAGGACTTTATTCATAATGAATGAACATGAACTGAATTAAAAAGAGACACAGACAGCAGATATAAAAAAAGGAACTGAATGGCAACAACTGAGACCAATAGGAAGAGAAGGTAATATTTTCATCAGCTATATTCAATGGAAATAATGGAAATATTCTACTGGTTTTCATTATCCATGAAGTCATAGCATAATAAAACTTGTTTTATGTTGAATAGCTACATTGTATGCATTTATAAATTGGTGGTGCACAAAATAGCTCTGTAAAGATTTCTTCAGTACACAGAGGACTTAATAAATCAGTGAATGAACAAGTGAAACATTCATTCATATTACATCACACAGTGCAGAAAATGCAAACAAATAAAACACAAGCTCGGAACAAGATGAAATAAAGAACATTACTATGTGACCAAAAGATTGCTAACACAGAAGAAAGACGGTGTTTCTTTTACAAGTGGTTGCTGAATCTCCTTGTCTTCTAAGGTTTACGGTGACTTGCTATTGTGGCAGTGTGTTGGGGTCTTGGCAGTGCATTGTGGGACGGGCTGGAAAAGCTGCTGTGCATTGTGTTTCAGCACTGCACTCACTAAAAACTATATGCAGCTGGAGGATTCAGCTCAGGCTCTACATATGACAAAAAAAAAACTTTTTATACACTCATCTGTTCTACTAGTTGAACCTAAAAGCATTTCTTCCCATTAGAGGAAAAAAGAAAATTGCATGTGGTTGAGGCTTTGCGAAAAAAATTTCCTTCATCTGCATCCTCTCATGTTGCAGACGAACTCATGTTATGACTAAATTTGTTAGTCATGACCTTGGTTGTTCAATTGAATGCGCTGACTTTGTTGGGTATCATTAGTTTCAGCATTGCTGAACCTAATGATACTCGCTCACTGCTTTATTAAGCACACGTTGCCATTAGCAAGCCGGTATTTTGCTTTTAAATTTTGTGGCATAAATTCAGCAAGAAGTCAGGAAGATCATTTAGAGATTTTCATCCATACCAGCTGCGTTTCCAGTTCCCACAAAATTGCACAAACTGAAAGCACAAAAGTAAATTTGCTTATTGGAAACAGCACTTTAAAAAAAAACAATGCTTTCCAATGAAATGTTTTTGTGATAGAATGAGGCGGTTTTACAGCTGTATCAAAAAAAATGTATTTTACAAAACTGCAATGGAAACACTTTTCTAATCATGAGTCACAAGTTAAACAGCTGAATGTTACTACTGACAGAAAAAATGATGATGACAGGAAGCAGTAGGAGGATGATGGTTTGATTCAGTTTTTTCAGACACAGAGCAGCTGGTTCTACCAGAGCTCTCATAGCTTCACACAGTTCAGAAAAAGTTGTGTTTTGTTTGAACGTGTTGACTCCTTTGCTCTTCTGTAAAATCGCCGGCTACAATTTCCCCAAAACTGTGCAAGTAGGCGGGGCTTGTTGCTTGGATGCCTGAATAAGATGTTTCCTCTGATTGGTTGATAGATGGTGATTAGGGTAAAAGCCACAATTCTTCCAGATGCTGATGATCGGTTTAAACTTTACCATCACCACAGGTAGATCCCTAAATGCATTGAATTGCTACCATCATGAAATGAACATGTGTCCCTAATAAAGTGCCATTAGAGACCATTTGTTGGTCTTAGAAACAACAAATGAAATGTCCCACTCACAGTAGTGGCATCAATGTTCTGCTGCAGCCTTCAGCCTGCAGCAGAACATTGCAAGATCATGCAAGATCATGAAGAAATAGCATTAAAAGCAGTTGCGCAAAACAACCAAAGTGTCTGAGCAATAAGAGTTAAAACATCATAAATACCTTCACACTGAAGGTCTCATTAATTCACAGATCCAGACACTTTCCTAAACAGTGTGTGGTTGTGGAGGCTGCAAAATAGTTCTTATCCTGTGAGAAAGGGTCATAAATATTTATGTATCTTCACTTATTAGTTGTCCTAATGTTTGCACTCATAAATGTATTAGCTGACTTTAAAGGTGTACACTTCGTCCTGCCAGGTACTTTCCATTTGGGATTGTTTTCCTGGTTGCTGGTAAAATCCTGGAGATGAGTGATCCCTCTGCAATGGGGAAGAAGCTGGGTTTTTATGCCATCACCGTGGTGTTTGGGTTGGTGTTGCATGGCTTGTTCATCCTGCCTGCCATGTACTTCTTCATCACCAAAAAGAGCCCCATCGTTTACATCCGGGGAATCCTGCAAGCCTTGCTTATAGCCCTGGCCACTTCCTCCAGGTAAAAGAGATAAGTAGAAACATATGTTTTACGTTTGTTTCTGGGCCTCTTTTAAAAGGTTTCCTCTTGACCTTTTCTATAAAAGGATGTAATCTGATTTTGGATTTTAAATTTTCTAATGACACCTCTTTTCTGTCTTCTTCAGCTCTGCCACTTTGCCTATAACCTTCAAGTGCCTCTTAGAGAACAATCACATTGACCGGCGCATCATCCGATTTGTGCTCCCAGTGGGCGCCACCATCAATATGGACGGCACTGCCCTTTATGAAGCTGTGGCGGCCATCTTCATTGCACAAGTTAATAATTATGAGCTGGATTTTGGCCAGATCATCACTATCAGGTCAGTGACGATACATCGTATCAGCTTTATAACAACATGTACATGTGACTGGTAGGAGTTTAGAATAATGGTAGGTCCAAAGCGCAAAATCTTTCATAAAACTTTAATAAATTAAAATGTTCATTTTTTTCAATTTATTGAATAAAAGATGGAATGTCATCCAACCAGTAGCTTTTATAAAAGCATAAACACTGTGAGCCAGATAGGGTATTGACACAAAAGGCTCTTTTTCTGACTGTCCAAACCACTGATTTTGTCAGTGATTTGATCCACAAACTATACATTTTGATGGCATGTTGAGTCATTATCCACTTAAAGACCCATCTGTTCCTCTGGCCTTAACATCTTGGTTGATGTCTTGACGTACTTTAATATTTCCAGATAAACATTCTTTTCTCATGATGTCATCTATTTCACTTTAAGTCCCCTTTTCAGCAAAAACTCTTAGATATCATGAAGGTTTTAATAAAGTCTCATAAATTCTAAGAAACGATCATTTGAGCACAATCAGAAATTCAACATGATTCTTGAATATTCCCTTATTATTCCAGAACCTTTTATTCTTATCAGTAGAAGTCGTTTTTATATATACAGTATTTTGTATTATATTGAGTCAAATATATACATTGATTTACTTGGAGACTCACTGGAATTATTTTATGGATTATGGATTGAGAAGCTATTAAATCTGCAGCTATGACAGAATGTAAATATATGTGATGCATCACTTTTGGAGAGTACAATAGAGTTTGGTATTGTACCATAAAATTTATATAAATATATATAATATACAAAAAGAATATTGTTAACATTACATTTACAAGATTTAAATTTGCAAATAATCCTCATTAGCTGCGTTTGCATTACAAACAAATGTCTTCGTTCTACTAATGTCGAAAAACACAATTTTGCAATAGTGTGGCTAGAGCCTCTGATTACAATATTCAGGAATGTAGAGACAAACTGCTTATACCTGGAAGTGACTACATATGCAGTATTTGGGGGAAATTGCAGTCTGTGATTTTATAGAAAAGTTATGCATTTATCAGTGACACAAGGTTTCATAAAGTGTATGATGCTGTGAGAACTCTGGTGGAGCCAGCTGTACATTGTCCTAAAAAACAAAGGCAAGCCAACATCCTCCTACGGTTTCCTGTCATCTTCTTCAAGGTTTTCTCCAGTAGTAACATCTTGTTGTTGATCACATCTCTTGTGTGATGTGAAAAAAATTGTTTCCATTGCTGTTTTTCCATAAAGGTTGAAAGCCCACCTCTTTCTAACCCACAAACTTTTTAATTAAAAATGTGAGGCTTTTTTGTGTTTGTTTCACAATTTTCATGTTTCCATTGATCAAATGTATTTTTCTGCTTTCAATTTGCACAAGTCTGTAGTCGTAAGATTGTGAGTCTGTGTGTGCATGTGTATAGATGTGCAGGTTTGTGAAACGCTGGTAAAATTGTTGTTGAAGGCTTAATAGAGGAGCCATGTTGTGATGACTTCTTGAAGCCGGAGTTCCAGAAAGAGCAGGACAAAACAGACAAAAGCCCAATTTCAAGGCGTTAAATTAAGAAACCAAATTTCAATAAAACCATATTTGATATAAACATTTTTTTCTAACAAAAGAAGTTAACATAGTTACATAATTGTTCTAGGAAATGGCACTATGTGCTTGGAAAATACATAGCACTGCACCTTTAATCTTCTCATCTTGTAAATCATGGTGTTTGCTGGTCACACACACTCTGGTCACACACACCATGAATCATAACTACATCACTCCTTCCACCCGCAGAGCCAGCTCACCCCTGCAGAAGTCAGCTGATTCAGAATTCACTTTTGAAAACGTAGGTAACAGAGGTGCTTTCAGCCCTGAGTCCCAAATTTGGTTCAAACTTAACAATGTAGTTCAGTGAATAACTCACAGAAGGATCTGAACCAGCTCTTTGACCTTGAGCATAAACCATGTCATGAACAGTGGAATGTCTGTTTTATTTTTGTAAGCGGCCTCAATTCTGGCTGAATTGACTATTTCATCATGCAAACATTTTTACTTTTCGAGGAAAATGTTTGTTTAATCCAAACAATCAAGGCTCACATATGCTGACAATCAAGGCTCACATATGTTAGCATATCCTATGTAGTTGTCATAGCAGTCATAACATTCCAACGATCCCTATTTATCTTTTCCTCTATGGCTGATGCTCACACTACCACTACCAATGTTAGCGCCTTTCTCATTTTACTCCACAACTACATCTTATGCTTAAATACCTGGAACTTCCTGCATTGCAGTTTATTTGTCAGAATCTCAAGATCGGTCTACAACCAGCCTCTGACCATTCTAACATTACTATTCTACTTCAGACAAATTTAACTTCTAATCAGGGATCATTTTAAATTTGAAACATCACAACAGTAGGAAAGGTTTTTTTTTTTTTTGTATTTTAATGGAAAATCATCCTCTAATTTCCTCAGTTTTTAGCATTGTTGGTCGCCAAGGTCATGAGGGAAGTCTTGCTGTGGTCTTTAAAGAGAACTAGAATTGTAATCAGCTGGAGAATGCCAGGTCTTCAAAGTAGGCATGAAAAATATATTTTACAGAATTGTAATTTATTGACCCCCTGCTCCGGTTGAGCCTTTACATTCTGGATGTGTAGAGACATTTTAACACTAATTATCAGATGGAAGGTTTTAATTGTTTCTGATTGATTACCTCCTCCTGTGATGAAGCTGCAGACTCTTTTAACTTCAAAAACAAGATGGTGGCCACTAATATTACGAGGCATACATTTGATCTTCTTTTTAGGACTAATCATCGACCAATTATATATTTGAAAAGATGTGACCATAGCTGCACTTTCCTAAGGCTTATTTTAATATTCGTCCTGTCGCAGTTTATTTGTGCATTACTCAACTGAAAAGGAAAAGTCTCCTGATGTCTGATATCTGGTGTTTTTAAAAGAGCTGTGATCAAACTCACAGCTTCTGGGAAGTTCACATTTTGGACCTTAAAGCCCTTATAAAGTCTTTGAATTCGATATTTAAAATAACTCCAGAGCTGTTGTCAAATCCAGTACAACTGATCAAACAAATGATGTTGCTTCTTCTAAATACCTGTACATTTTACAGAGATTTGTTATTGTAGCTTGCATCACCTTATTTAACACACTTCTTAGTTTAGTGGAGATTTCTGAATGAAGGGGTTTGGATCTGTAGAGTCTGTACAAACCATATCATGTCAGATATGCGGCACACTTCCAGAACCTTTTTGCTATATATCATATATTTGCTAGTTTGTATTTTTACTCACTTGGAGAGATCATTAACATATTTCATAGTATTTCCTATTGCATTTATTCAAATGAAGGAAGAAAGTTATTGAAACTGTCAGAATTACAGTGTCTTAAAGAAATAAACTTTTCGAAAATTGTCACACTTTAGCTGAACTCTGAGACTAATTATTTGATTATTGTCCCCAGAGAGCATCATCCATTAACTAGAGAACACAGATTAACTCTACATTGTTCTTTGTTATTATTATTTTTGCTTGGTCAAGGCTCTGTCTCCTTACTCACATTCTCTTTACGTACTAAAAATCTATTCATTTTGTCACTGCGATAGTCTTCGTGAAGTTGACTAAAAGTTTTCAGTTACTGTTCTCTGTTTTACTCCCCACACTTTGAACAACTCAGCTGTGAATAATATATATTTGTGTTTCTCCCTTGAGATGACTTTTGTTGTGAAGTAGCAGAACATAAACAAACCTTATGTCGCTAATTTCAGTCCTTCATTGGAACAATGCTAATCTTCCAAATCTCTACCAGCATCACAGCAACGGCAGCAAGCATCGGTGCAGCAGGGATACCACAAGCTGGACTGGTCACCATGGTAATTGTGTTGACATCTGTTGGATTGCCCACTGATGACATCACCCTCATCATTGCAGTGGACTGGGCACTGTAGGTCATGCTTCTTTTTACTAATATTCTCTAAAAACTCATGAGGCTGAGCATACCGGCTTCGTTTTGCTGCATTTCTCATCCGGCTTCCCTTTGTCTCCTTTGCAGGGACAGATTCCGAACGATGGTAAATGTAATGGGGGATGCTTTGGCCACAGGCATCATGGCACACATCTGCAGGAAAGACTTCATGAAAGAGGGAGATGGGGTTGGTTCTCATTCTTTGGTTGCTTATACTTATGTTTAAAACCTTTCATTGAAAAAAAAAAAACATTTTGTGTTGGTTTTTTTAAACATGGATCAAATTCATGTTTTTAAATTTGCAAAACATAATTCTTTGTCAAACCTCCTTCAATAATGATTCAGTCAAAGTCAATGATTCAGTTTCATGCATAAAAGAGTGCACAGGTTTCACACTGAAACTTGGTGTATAGAAAAAATTTAGAACTGCATATATTATTTAAAAGGTGCTTTCAGGGAACATAGGGTAACGTCATAAAAATAAAAAATCATACATTTTAAAGAAATAAAAAACTCCAAATAATAATAGAAAATAAAATAAAGAGATTGTGCAAACAGCAGAGCATCCAGCCGGGATTTAAAGACAGACAGAGAGTCAGAGTCATTAGAGAGGGTAAGATAAACCTTTATTATAAACAGTGGAATCATGTGCATAAGTTGTACATTTACAGAATAGAGATGCTTTCTGTCCATAAGGCTCATTCACAAAGCGGGCAGCTCCCTGAAGAATGTCCTCAGCTGGACCGGTACCGGTACCGCACGGCTCCTTCTATAAGTTCTGCTCAGTGCTCCAGGATGATCAGTGTGGAATAATATAAACAGTAATAAACTATCATCAACATTCTCAGTAGATCACTATGATCGCTGGTCAATGGCTCCCTCTGAATCCATCCATTGGTGATGTTCTCCATCAGTGAGCCGCTGACCTTTATGCAGCTACTTGAATACATGTGATTGGCTACAAACTTCCATCACTTTAAAAATAATCAAACCATTTGGAGTTAATCTGCTGATCCAACCATGTTTTATTTATTTATTTATTTTTTGTGAGAATGAAATGACCTCACAGCTAAATTTCATTTGCTTTGGCACAAAGAACAAATTACATCTTTATGAAACAAAAACTGAGGAAATTTATTTTTTACATCGTAGTGAGGTTTTCGCATCCTTTTATTTTTGCTTTCTTTATTTTTTGGGTGTGCGTGTGTGTGCGTGTGTGTGCGTGTGTGTGCGTGTGTGTGCGTGTGTGTGCGTGTGTGTGCGTGTGTATGCGTGTATGTGTGTGTGTGGGGGGGGTGTGGTAGGTTATTGTCTGAGGATAAATGGGTTTTATTGTCTAGTTTAAACAATAAAATATTAAAATCATGAAAAGATCGGGTTTGATCTAAATAACACAATGTATACAGATTTCACTGTATTTAGGTGAGTTTTGATGCTTTGTAGTTTGTTATTGTCCACAGAAGTTTGACATTGCCGCACATTTTCACGCCAGCGAAAAAGTGTGAGAATTCTTACGCAAACTTTGACGCAAAGTTCATTTTTATACACGCCGACTTGTGTGCAAAATGTGGCACCGCAGATTTTTTGTGCACTTTGTGGATGAGGTCACTTGTAATCACATTTCTATTGAGAATTGATGACTGAATTTGCTTTAAAACTTTCTGCTTAAAATTTTACTCTGTTCAGTTGATTTTGATTTTTACTGCATTGAATTTTCTAGAAACAAAAACAAAAAGAACCAGAAACTGTTTTTTTGTTTGTTTGTTTGTTTGTTTTTTGCCTTTTGTGAGGATACTTTTCCTGTTCTGTCCAGGTTCCTCTGGTTTGTGAGGCTAAAATCCCAGTGAATCCCCCACCCACAATGAACTGCCACAACAACAATGGGAACGTTCGACCGCCTGCCTCAGGAGTCAAACACAAGCTCGTCCCGCCTGATGTTGCTCGACTAATGCAGCTTGAAGAAGGTGTTCAGCAGATTTCAGACAAAAAGAAACCTCCAATTCCTCCAAGATATCTGAAGAAGAGCAAAGAACACTGCACTATTGACATGAATGGCCTTGAGACCAATGTATAGCCTCTGAGTGCAATTTCATTTGATATTAGTGTATTTGGACAGATGGATGCTCAGAAGCAAAGAAAACTGGTAAAGGCATCAGTATTGTATTTTATATCCTACAATACCAAAATCTATCTATCTACCTATCTGTCTATCTAGCTATCCAGCTAGTTAGCAATCTGTCTGTCTAACCAGCTGGCAAGCTTGTTGTATACTGCAGCACTGGTCATGCCAAAAAAAAAAAAGACAAAAGTTGTGCTTTTATTTAAAGGTCAGAATTTGTGAGCAGTAGACTCTGGCCAGAGTTACACTTTGGAAAACATGGAAAAATTAGCTGAAAAGTTTTTATGTGGAGGAAAGGTCTCATCCACCGACACCGACAAGCTACTGGAGAATAAATTGACATAAGTTTCACACAAATTACATGCTGTGTGTGATGAATGGAGTTTGTTTCAGCTGTAATGTTTTTTTTTTTGTTTTTTTTTATTCTGGCTGGTTTTAAAAATTTCTTATTTGTATTTCTTTATTGAGAGGAAAAAGCTGTTTCTCTCCATTGCCACTATGTTTTAGCATCATTTTTCTAATCCAGGGCTGGTTTTCATGCACACACAAGATGTCACTCCTTGTTCCTTCCTATTTACAGCTTCCTGAGCGAAGAGACGGTCTCACTCCCACAGTGAAAACATGTTTATAACAATACAATGACATGTAAAGAAAATTACAATGATTGGTTGGAGCACATTGTGAGGTAACTTGTCTCTGCCTAGGAGTCAGATATTGACTGATGCAATTGTATATTCAGTTAAGATAGTTCAGTCATTGTCTGAAAAATGCACCAAGAAAAGGATTCTGTAGAGTCTATGTGTGTGTGTGTGTGGTGTGTGTTGTGTGTGTGTGTGTGTGTGTGTGTTTGTGGGTGTGTGTGTGTGTGTGTGTGTGTGTGTGTGTGTGTGTGTGTGTGTGTGTGTGTGGGGTGTGTGTGGGGTGTGTGTGTGTGTGTGTGTGTGCGTGTGTGTGGGGTGTGTGTGTGTGTGTGTGGTGTGTGTGTGTGGGGGTGTGTGTGCGTGTGTGCTCAAGTGTGTGTACGTTAAGTTGTTCCTCAGCAGTGTTATTAGATTGGAACTGCAGTGAATAATGTTGAGTGTCAGAAATACTGTGATACACAAAAGTCTGTTACTTTCACTTTTCATGCAAATAGTACTGACATCTTGGTACTAGAATCCAAAACCAAGTTTTCAAAGGACAACCTTTTGCTCCATAACAAACTTTTAATCGTCTGTGGCACCTTAATGCTGAACTCTGTGACCAGTTTTTTCTTGAGCGTTCGTCAGATTGATTACATGCTTTGTCTGCTTCTGTCAAATGCAGGAAAAACTCTGACTTTCTCGAATGCTTTACAGAACCACATCCATGCAGAAGAACACGCATTCAAGCTTGGTGATGAAAAGGTAAACTTTACTGGGTTTGCCTTATTATGGTCCTTGGCTGATAAGGATGGGAATTGAAGTGATTTTGTTTTTTATGTTTCAACTGATATGTGAAGAAAAAAGACATTCATACGTCACAAACTTAATGACATTTGGCTAAACCTGATCAAATCAAAAGACTTGGGACTTTATTTGGATTTGACCTTTGTGACATTTCTTCAATGAACTATTAACCTTGAACATTTCCAGCCAGATTTCACAATTACACAACATCCAACAAAAAGGAACAATGTCAAGAATGCAAGGCTAGATGGGGAGCCAACCATGGCAATCAAGGTTTGGGAGTAACATTAATCAAATGCCAGTTTAACAAAAAAGTCTTCTTTTTCTTGCTTTTTACATCACAGAGACAGAAAAGTCATTTTGTTTACAGGAGCTGAAATGTTGGCTGATCTCATTGATTAATATTAAACAAACACACATTTACACTAAGTCTAAAAGTAATAATTTCACTTGTTTTGTCTTATGAACAGTCCAAATTTCAAAACTGTTAAGATATATAGGACTTATTACAGCACAAATAAACTCCTAACTCTTGTCTATATATTTTTGTGCCTGCTTATTTGAGTTGCTGCCTGTGTTTCTCCAATATTAAAGATTGATTATGTCCACAGACAATGCTGTTTCTGGAAGGAAAAACAAAAAAGGCAGTCAGTGGATCACCCTTTTCCTTTTGATCAGTGGATCTGCTAGAGTGGTGAAAAAATGCTCTCAACATTTAACAGATTGGCATTCATAGTTTCAGCTGCTGTGTCCCAACATGAACATTTTATACAAATCAGGGCAGAATGTGCACTGTGGGCCTCTACAGCAGGACTGTGCATATTGCTAATGGCTAATATCAAATTCACATAAAAAACTGAAACACTTCAAGTGATCAGTGGTACAAACACAAGGTATAGTCTGTGGTAAGAGAATATCCAGTTCTCATTTGATCAGACCTTTACACAAAGAAACTTGTAACAAATAACAGATATTTTATTTGCTTCACAATTTATAGAAAGAAATAAAGGTAAAATTGGTCACAACTTTATAAGAGACAATACATATTTTACTGTAAAAGAAGGAAAGATTAAAACTGAGGACTTTGCTGGCCTTCTCATTTTCTCTCCATTGCAGGCCCAGTAAATAGTCTCAAAATGTATCTGTCATTGCCCATTTTTAATGGAACAGTTGTTGGACATGTTCCTCTCAGTGGTTCTGAGACCATGGCGGCCAAAGGCAAAGGGGCGGAGCTCCAAGGCCACTGCCACTGTAGTAGCTGACAAACCCCAGAAAGGACTGCAGCTCTGGGACTCTGGTTGGACAAGACTAATTCTTTACTGTAGAGATTTTAATTGAGTCCATTGACTGACAGGAAATAACACAGACTAGGTATTTTACATCTTTCCTGAAGATTCAATGTTTTTTGAGCCTCTCTTTTAGTCCCTCTTGTTTCAGGTGGCTTCATCATAGTTTCCAAATGATGCAAATCTTCATCAACTGAGGAAGAGAGAATCTCAAGGTCATCCAAGTATAACAGAGGCCGACAATTTTGAGACCCAAACATTTGCTCCATTAGTCGCTAAAACATGTTGGGGGCATTGTGAAGTCCAAACACCATTCTGTTAAATTCAAACAACCCAAAAGGACCACAGTCTTTACCTTATTAGGTATAACAACTAAACCAAAGTTATTGTGTTTGATGATCGCACCTTTCTTGACAAACTGATTTCCTTAACTCCAAGGAAATCGATGGACAGTGGAGGACTCTGTCGCTTCTCCACTGTCAGGAGCCTCTGAGTGTTTTTATTTAATTCCCTGAAATTTCAGAAAGTGTCCACAGTAGTCAGGATTTTCTTGTATCGCTAAATTACCAAAGATAAATCTTACATTCTTCCTAAAAATTTAGAAAATCTTTGACATTAATTTGTTACCTCTAGAACAGATGACTGCAACTCATATTATGGACTGGATCAGTCGACTCTCCATCGTCTGCAGTTAGTCCAAAATATCAGATCATCTATTGGAGATGATTGGGGTTATTACAGGGAATGCTTGAAAAGATTGCCTTGAAACAGCAGAAAATTACTCCCCTACTTGAAAGATTTCAGTTACTTTGAGTGATTGTCCCTCACATAAGGTCGAGCTGCTTTCAGGTTTTTAATCTTATGACCAACAGTAGATTTCACAGTTTCAGTTTTCCTCAAGTCATCTATGTTGGCATTCCTCTGTGTTTTCTGTCAGCTATTCACAGCCCCTTCACCCCGATATGAAGCACCGTGACAAATGAGTGAATGTCAAACAATTTCCAATTAGTAAGACAAGCTCCAGCGATGTTATCCAGAAGATTCTGCTGACTTTAAGGAAACAGACAGCAATTGTTTTTCATTGTTTTCAATGATTTATTATTTTTTTGAATGACTGTAATATTCTATGTAATGATACAAGGCTACAATATGTGCAAGTGACTGTGTTCATAGTAACATGTTATATGTTAGTTAAGCATTTTAATTTGATAAGAAATATTTGATATCTTGGTGGAAAACAGGCTGGGCATAAAGGAAGAGCAGCAGGAACTTCTTCCTCAGCTACATTAATGAGGGTTTTTTTTTTTTTTGATTAAAGTGTCTCATCCAAAATACATCCTAATACAGAAAATAATAAGAACATGCATTGCTTATTATTTATTTCTACACAGAAGTAAGTCATTGGCTGTATTTAATGTAATATGAAATAAGTTCTGGCTTCAGATAAATACTGAAATCTAAATGTTTTCCAGGTTAAGTATGAGGCACAACTCTGATCATTTATCATTTTAATTGTAGTTGCATTTAAAATGATAAATGTGACTAACTTGTTAGGACTACACAGCTTTGGCTGCACAGGGGGACAGTTGGTAGCACTGTTGCTTTGCAGCAAGAAGGTCCTGGGTTCAATTCCCGGGTCTTTCTGCATGGAGTTTGCATGTTCTCCCTGTGCATGGTGGGTTCTCTCCGGGTACTCCGGCTTCCTCCCACAGTCCAAAAGCATAACTGTTAGGTGTGAGTGTTTGTGTGCATGAATGGTTGTTTGTTCCGTCTGTCTCTCTGTGGCCCTGTGACAGACGGACCACCTGTCCAGGGTGACCCTGCCTCTTGCCCGAAACATTAGCTGGAGATAAACACCAGACCCCCATTAGGGACAAAGGTGGTAGAAAATGGATGGCTGGATGAATAGATTACACAGCACTACATTACAACTAAACTCACAATCGCAGCTTAGTTTGAGCATGAAGATGCTGGAACATATCTAATATGTCCATTTACCTTTTAGTCATTTCTCATTGGAAAATGGAGACATTTTATCTAGATACATTTATTTTATATTGCAATGTCACCCAGGAGAGTATGTGCACAGTTTTGTTTTCTTTCAATAATGGACACAGAAATGTCCATTTGGAGAAGAAATCTAAAGAATTCCACATTGTTGCAGTGTATGATCGACTGATGATAATTCATGATGACATCCAGGAAGCCATGCTGTTTTGAAGTGGCATTATGAAAGTATTTTTGGACTCAGATTCTTTTGTTTCTCACTAAGATAAGGTTTGACAAGCTAAGCCTATCCTTATTAGTAATTTATTGACTGTTTCTTTGGAAAATTAGATTCTGTTCAGTTTTCAATTTTTTGTTTGAGATAGTCTGTAGGGCACTGTTGAGATTAATTTGGATGAAAACTGTTTAGAAATCATTAGTAAATAAATCATTGTCGAGCAAAACCATTTTCCTTAGAAGCATAGCTTCTCCATGTCTGTTTGTGAAGGTTACTTTGAGGTTACTGTGTGTAGTTTAATCTACCATTTGGTGCCATTTTTTCTTCTTTCACCAAACCCATATCAAACTGGGACTTCATCACTTCCCTGATGCACTGGGTCTTGCAAATCAAATGTTCTGGCTTAGAAATAGGAAAATTGAACCAGAGGACATACTGATAATATCTGTTATTCTTTATGATCACACAACTTTTGACTGAGAGAAAGTCCATCAGTCTGTAAAAGATCAAATAAGTCCATTTGAGGTCAGCAGTCCAATGAAAGGCTGCTGCTCAACCACAAAAATCTTACTCTGTAGTTGTTTTTTTTATTACTACTCTGGCTTAAAATAACTTGAAACCTTTAGACTTTTGTTACGTTGCTGAATAATAATATCAAAACAAATTTTGTTAGGCTTATATTGGTCTGTAATTAACTATGTAAAATCTCCAGTAACAATAACATGGAATTATGTACTTGATTTTTATGTTTAATTCAACTTTCTGTGGTTTTAATAACAAAACGAGTGCTTTGATTGCTATATCTGCTTTAACAAATCCAAGTAGATTGCATTGGCAATATCACTGACAGGGCAGCCATTTTCAAAATGGCATAAAAATGAAGAGGAAAACAGGAAGGGGTTTTGTCCTTTTTTATGATTCTTCCCAGGTTGGTGTTCAGATCCCTGGACCTTCTTTCCTTTCTTTTTTTTTCTTTTTTTTTAAGATAAAGATTGCAGATGAACAATCAAAAGCAAATTTTAAAGTTCACTTTGAACAAAATGAACTTCTATCCGGTATCCCGCACCAGAAATATGTGGCTCTGCATCTCAGCATGATTTAAAGATATAAAGAAAAGAAAAGAAAAAAAAACATTCACAGGTCCCGTCCCATTTAAAAGCCTGTTCTGTTTTCTGAAACATGCAGTCCAGTGCTCTATGTTTCCTGTTCCATCACCTCTCCAACTTCTTTCTCATCTTTTTTTGAGGACAGCTCTGTGTTTCCCGTCCCAAAGTCCAGCACCTGCAAGTTGATGAGGTGGGCGAAGGAGCTCTCATCTACAGAGTCCACAGACAGCCGGTTAAACCTTGGAACGAAAAACAGGAGGGATGGTTTAGTTTAGCAGAACTTAAACTTACAGATCTGTCTGGTGATGCTGGTCCAGAATCAGTTCAGAAGGGTCCAAATGTTGAGCATCTCTTACAACTGTTCAACAGAATTTGTTTAGTTGTTCTGCACTATTTACTCACCAAAATGTTGACTTTAGTTACCTCATAGTATTTTTAAGAAATGTATGAGATCCATTCCATTTACTTGCATGTGTAGAAACTGATAACACATCCTATCAATGAGTTTAATCATCCACTACCAAGTAATTTCTGCAACATTACAATCTTTATTTCCATTTCCCTCCTGCTGCAAACACTCTAGTTGGTACAAACCATGTGTTTCGTACTGCAAGTGGAGGGAAGCAAAGGGAGAGAAACAGAGCAGCAGCTGATATGATAATAATAACAAACCTGTATACCAAAAGGGGTCAAAGCTCATAAGCACAGCAAAAAGCAACAAGGTTAAGGTCACACTGAAACCAAACCAGAACAAATACCTTGAAAGCACATGTTCAAAACCTCTTAACTCTTGTCTGACCGCTGCTGTCAGCTGCAGGGCTTGTAGCGGTAAGCCCACAGTACGTGGAATAAACCAAAGTGGAGCATTTGCTGAATGCACTCAAGTTAGTGGAGTTGGAGAGATTAGGTCCTGTACTCTACAAAATGAAGCTAAGTCCGAATGCGCAGCAGATAGTGCTTTCTTTTGATTTGCAACAGAAAGACGTTCATGTGAGGAAAAATCTCATTTACACTAAAACCAAAAGCAGCTCCAGAAAGGAAAATGGTTGTAAGAGTAAATGCTGAATGTTGTAGATCTTAAAAATAAGTGTTGAATTATTTGTAAGTTGACAAATAACTTATTTGTAAGCAGATAGTGGATTCCATTCACTATCTGCTCTATCTCAGTTTATAATTCACAAAGCAGAAAGCACCAATGACCTGCCAGCAGAATCACATCCATACCCAAATAGACCAGAGGTTGACAACATTAGTGCAGATATTAGGTCTTCAACTACTTTTTGAAGCATGCAGATGTGGCCATATTTCAGGTTCAACACACACAAAACTGAATGAATTTGAGTGAGAAAGGTTAAGGATGTTTGTGCGTCTCTTACCGAAGGAAGATGCCTTTAATGTTTGGAGTGCCTTCAAACGCGGAAGCAGGAACGCTGGAGATCCGGTTGCTTTGCAGGTAAAGATACTCCAGAGACTCAGGAAGGTCTGATGGGATGTGTGTTAGCTGGTTACCAGAAAGGTCAAGTGTCTAAAATAATAATAATACATACATACATCATCAAGAAGGAACATAGGAAAAGAAATTAATGTTACTCATATAACACATATGTTACCCATTTGGATGGATGGATGGATGGATGGATGGATGGATGGATGGATGGATGGATGGATGGATGGATGGATGGATGGATGGATGGATGGATGGATGGATTTCTGCGTCCGTAAATTGTTATTATTTTTTTTTGTATTTTGTCACACTTTCATAAAAATGTTTTTAGCATATTTTGTACACCTGTCGGGATGCTATGACAGTATATCATGAGACAGATAATCTGTGAAAAATAAATCAAGTTTCTCTACCTTGTCTCTGTGGTCCTACTGTTAACTGAAGTCAATACCAACCAATGAGAGCCAGGAGGAAGGTGTTAGTACTGTGAATTAAGCTTGTGTATGCGCTACTCAGTGTGCTAATGACGGAAAAGCAACTCACTGTTACTGAAACACAGTTTTCTGCCATCATTGCTGGCTATGCTAACTAGCCTAGCATTCACGGCAGGCTCTGGTGAGGGCAACTTGCTGTAGTGTAACAGAAAACAAGGGGCAGGGTGTGAGTAGTGCGCAAACTGCAGATCTGACCACAGAAAGGAGGCAATGGAGCTCAATTTTTTTCACGGATATTTTTTCACAGTCTCATTTAAAACAAATAATGTAAATAAAAATATTCTACTGCAGGTTTTAACATAGAAGGTTAAATCTTGTTAAGTCTTGTTACCGTGGTTTACTACCTTAACATAGAAGGTTAAGGTAGTAAACCACGGTAACAAGACTTGTTACTAAGCATAATCTGAGCAGTATCCATGCAGGTCACTCACTGTAAGTGCACTGAGCTCCATCCAAGCTCCTTGGTAGGCTGAGTTGAGTTTCAGTTTGTTGTCACTCAGGATCAACTTCTGTAGCTTCTGCATTCCTGCCAGGGCTCCATATGGTATCGCACTGAGCTGGTTGTTCTTGATCTCCAGAACCTTCAGGCTGTGCGGGAGGCCCAGTGGTATGGCATGAAGGGCATTTCCTGACAGGTCCAGAGTTTCCAGTATGCGCAGCTTTCTGAAGGCGTCTCGGTGAATCTTGGTGTTGGTCAGTTTGTTGTAGCTGAGATTGAGCTCAGTCAGGGTATACAGCAAGGACAGGTCATTGCGGCCAATTTCAGAAACAAAGTTGTGGAGCAGCATGAGAGTCTTGGCTCTTCGAGGTAAGCCTCTGGGAACTCGTTCCAGCAAATTATTATACAAATGAAGAGTGTGCAGCTTCTTCAAGCCCTGGGAGAAAGATGGAACTCAAATGAATGAAGAGCACTGTTCCTATGCAGTGCATTTGAGGATATGCACCCATTACACATATGTGAGTAGCATCTAATATATGTCAGCTTGTCCTTAAAGTACCTGGAAGGCCATTGGGTGTATAGAGCGGGAGCGCAGCTGGTTATTGTGAAGTAGCAGGTATTCAATGTTCCGCACAGAGGTGAGAGCGTCTCCAGGAATGCTGCGGATGGCGTTCTTCTCCAGGTGCAGCAGCACCAGGTTGCGAGGCAAACCCTTCGGAACAACGCTCAGGTTGTTATTTGACAAGTCAAGATACTCGAGGCTACTCAGCTGGCTGCGGAAACAGAAGAGGAGGGAAATCATGTTTTCAATTTTGAACTCTGTAATTGAACCCTTTATGTTCTTTGTGACTTCTTGGTGCTTAAAAGCTGCAGAGTAAATTCCAAGGTTTGCATTTAAAAAAGCTTGATATTAAGTTTCCTGCACATTAGGAGTTAAAAATAGTAATAAACAAAACATTTTGTTCAAGTGAGAGCCAGAGATGATATTCCAGGAGACTTTAGTAACATCTGCAGCATTAAATAGATGCACTGGCAGTTAATTACCAACTATCATTCAGACACCAAGTGGTAAGTCTGCTCAAATGGAATACTTCGATTCTGTTGTGTTTATGGGGTCAGTGGAAGAAACATTAAGAAACTTCACTGTTTGTTAAATCCTTGTTCAATAGATAGATAAAAGTTGACCAAAATGTTAAATATCTGCAGCTGTTGGTTATGATTTTACAAACAGATTGTTTGATTTTGATCAGATAAAGTCTTTTGCCCAGCAGTGCTGCTCATTTAGAAATATCTGAGATCTGTTGATCACGTTACCAAACCATTCTCTGTCTTAGAATGCTGTGGACTTATTAGTTGTGTAAATTTTGAGGTATGATCTATCTGTGTGATGTGAGGCACTTTTGTGTTTTTTTATTTTAGTTATGAAAATACAGAGTGAAATATCTCAATTGTTTGGTTTTTTTTTTGTGAGTGAAATGTTAAGCGCACCTGAAAGTCTCGTTGTCCATCCCTTCATTGGTGAGGAGGTTGTTCTGGAGATAAAGTTCTCGAAGGTTTCGTAAATCCTCAAAGGCCCCCGCTGGGATTTTCTCCAGTCTGTTACTCTGTAGCATAAAGGAAATATTTTTTATTAATAAAATGATATGCTCTCCACAACCTTTGGCAGAAAGTGGCTGGATTGAAGCAAATGAACTAAAACTCGATATGTGTGAAGTCAGTCATGATTCTGCCAGACAAGCAAAGTTTTTCCAGTTCGCATCACTGCTGTGTCTCACCATGACGACCCCACCAGCTCATGCAGAAACATGCAAGAAGATTTCCCTCCACATTAACACCATGATGAAGTAGCTTGAGTATCAGGCCAGCAGATAAAATGTCAAAGCATTTGAACGGACAGCAAATAGAACAGTAATAACAATAAATAAGTGAAATATGAAAGAAAATCATCAGAATTTATTCAATCTTTCTCTTTATATCCAGTTCCAGACATTTCAGTTTTGTTTTTGTTGTTGTTGTTTTTTATTATTCCAGGAAACATCTGCTGAATGTTTACAGGTATTTTTCCCTAAATCCGTTCTGGCTTGTTTAACAAATGTTTCTAGATCACAGTCAGAGCAAATGATTACTAGCAGGTGTTTACATAAAAGTCCAAGCACAGATTAACTCTGGATCTAAAAAGTCTACAGGACCAAGATAAAACTGCCAGATTGTCAGGAAGTGAAAAGAAAACAGACAAAAATATGTCATCGTACGACTTTAATCTGACATATTAATCATGTTAAATACTCACTGATGGGAAACACCTGGTAACTTCATCAGGAAAGATAGTCAAGAGTTTAAGAGAAGTGGAAGAAATATAATCTGTTAACACGCAACACAAGGAAATGAGCAGAAAGGAACAAGAAAGAGAAGAAGAGAGCAAGAAGATGAAGAAGAACAGTAATGGAAGGAGATTGCGTAGTGGCAGGAAACAAAAGTGGCTCCATTCATGGCTTCAGGATTTGGTTTGACTGAGATAGAGTCCTGGGTTTTTCTGTGTCTTGTTTTGCATTATATTTCCTGTTTTGGTCAAAGAATATCCTTGCCCCGCTGCTTTAGAGAAACATGAGCTCCAGCTGGCTCACACTAAAAGCATATTTCTACATATATTATATAAATAGACACCAGCAGTTTTCTTACTGTCTGATATTAAATCTGCCTGTGAGCATCAATTAAGATTGCCAAAATTATTTTTATTTGCAAATGTTCTAAATAACGAGAAATATTATTTTTATACTGTTTGGGTTTCCCACTACAAGCTTCTCACAACAATTTTTAAATTATGACCCATTTCTTCTGGTTTATCTTAGTCAGACTTGTAAGTTTGCTCTCTTTTAGTTTTGCAAACTTCAATGGAACAAATATCAGAGGTTTTTGATGGTCAGCTCAAAACATTAACATTGTTGTCCTTGATGAACTTTGCCCATCTGGAAGAAAAGTTTGTGCTCAAGGCTTAACATCCTGGCTCTCAAAAGGCTGCTTCAGTCTTTCTACATAATGTTCTTTTCTCACGGTGCTATTTAATGAAGTGCACCAGTCTCTCCTGCAGTAAAACACCAACACAACATGATGAAACCACTACCACACTGTTGAAATTGTTTTTCCTCTTACTTCAGCGATTCTCATTAACCCTATAAATTTTCCATTAATCAGGGAGGGGGGGGAGGGGGGGGCTCCTATGCTTTAGATGAACTTGACTTGTTTTTTCAAGGTGGCTGAAGTAATGAAGAGTGCTAAATGTCAATTATTCTTGATCCAAAACATTCACATACGCTAGAAAGTTGCAGAGCAAGAAGGATTTTACGTTCAACATCACAGTGAGTCTGAGGCTGAGGACAAGTATGGTTTATATAGAAGTTTTAAATTCAAGTTTGGATCTGTGGACAAGAGGTGTCCACACAAAACAAGGCAGCCTGGGTAAATATTACCAAGTCAAGATGTAGGTTGTCTGCATCTAACAGCTAATTCTGTGCTAAATGAACAAAAACAAAACATGAAATGCAAACCTTAGAAATTCTAAATGATACATTATTACTAATACAGATAATCAACAGATCATTGTATCATCTGCCTAATAACAATTCTGGATTTGTGGTCACTGCTGCCACCAGACAGAGGTATGTAAGACCCAACATTTCTGCCAATGAACCATGTTCACCCACTGCTCTCTCAATTACACTGCAGAAGGCCTGACCAGAGACCATCCATGCTCAGCCTGACTGCAGTACATGTATGCTCAGCCAGAGAAAAGGCACTCTAAGATTAAATGCATGTTTTAACTGAAATGTGCTCCAGTGAGTTATTGTAATTGTTTGTGTCCAAACATCATTGTTGTTGCTGCATGTGTGAGACCTTCAGATGAAGCCGGAGAAGACTGGACGGCAGATTGCTGGGAACGACCCTCAGGAAGTTGCTGGATATGGTGAGGATCTCCAGCGTGTCAGAAGCATTGAACATGTCATCAGGAAGTCCTTCATCTGTCAGCTTGTTGTTATGGAGATACACAGACCTATGGAGTCACACACAGGACATGTTCTACTAACTATACCTGAAATAAAACGAGGTATATCCACACAGAAGACATGTCAGTACCTTAGTTTTGGCTTATGACCAAATGTGTATGGATAGATCCTGGACAGATGATTAGCAGCAAAATCAGCACTGACCAAAGATGGCGGCAGGACTCTTGGTGCAGAGGAGAGCTACAAGCACATCAGAGAATGAATTAAATATTGTGATTTTTTTTTCTTTATGTGGTTTAGATGTATTGTCACCACTGGCCATTAGCCACATTTTCTGAGCCACCTGTGCAGTTTATTTTTGTTTTGTTTTTAGTTTTGCTTGCTATACAATTTATTCAGAACAAGATAAAGGATTTATTTTTTTAATACTGAATAAAAAATGCTTCTGAAATTTAGTGGTTAGTGTAGAATCTGCCTTATTCTGGCTAAGCTGTTGGAGACAAAGAACTGTAAATTGTTTGTTTTTAGATCTTCCTTCCTAAAGTACAAGAGGCCACATTAGCAGAGGCCTCTACATTTAAACGACATTGAAACGACATTCAGTTTCAATGTGGAGAGAAACTGAAAGAGAAACCTTTTTCAGCTTCAATGACTGGAAAAGATTATGAACCTCTTTCAGTTTCTCTCAGAAAGAGGTCGCCTCAGTTTCAATGTGGAGAGCAACTTCAGGAATCTACAAACAGAACTGCAACAAACAAGACTTGAACAGGGAGAAGAAAAACAAAAATGATGTATGTCTCAAAGGTTTCATTTAGCAGGTTTTCCAAGTAAAAGAAAGTCCAGTTTTGTCTAAATTTTCTCATTTTTTGCATAGAAGTTTAGATTATTACATACCATATATAAAACAGAAATGTCAGGTTTCTGAAAAGTTCACATTCTTCTCACCTGTCCCCGACCAGACAGGCATCCCGCCCCTCCTCTGACCCACAGCTTTCCAGTAAAACCTGAGATGTTTCATCTTCTACCTCAGTCACTGACTCGTCTGCTTCCACAAGTTTTTCTTCAACCAAATCAGGAGCTGCTGCTGCTCCTTTTGCCTTCCCCTCCCACTTTTCAGTATCAAGAAGTCAGGTGAAGAGGCATCTGCAGAGACTGAATGGACCAAGGCTGTAGGTCTGGATGGTGTGACAGAGTCTGGTGTGACAGGCCTCTGTGGGATTCTGCAACATCTCCTCATCCTCAGCCTGACCAAACAAAAACTTCTGTTGTGGAAGACATCCTGCCTGGTTCAGGCACCAAAGAAAACTCATCAATCAGTCATTAACAACCTTAGGCCTGTTGCTATGACATTGCACATCATAAAGGTCCTGGATGAAATACATGGATGGACCATTTCCTACCACATTTTTTCCTTCCACTCAACTTTTTATGAAAATGCTTGGATATAGCACTTTGTCAACAATCAGAATAATTATTATTAACCTCTTGTAGCTTCCCTTCCTTGCCTTCCTTGTGAAAAGTTTTCAGGCTCAGGAAACATTTGCAGGTGTTCTCCTTCCACTCAATTTTTTTATATAAATTGCTTGGATATAGTTTCCAATATTTAACTTTTTGGAAGATATCAATATTACTTGAGAAAAAAAAACTGAATCTTGGTTTAACACTATTTGTAACCTGTAATGATCAAAATCAAAGGCTTAAAAGATCTGACTCTATGTGTAGTAAATCTATATGACATACAAGTTTTTCTTTCTGAACGTTGTCATACTTAAAAGAAAACTGTGATTAACCACATTTATTTAATTCTGTTTCTCTTCAATAATATAAGGCTTTCAAATGCTAAAATATGTCAAATGAAGATAGAAAGCAGAGAAGCATTTTTGAGATTACACATTCATTTAGAGCTTTCTCCTTAATAACATGGTTTATGTATTAAAGTAACACGGGATGTCTTTGAGGCTTAGTGAGCACTTAAAAATCCTCTATTCTTCCTGCGTTCTGTTTTCCTGTTTGTCCTTTTGGACACACAAATCTGCCCATCGTTTCTCTCTCACTCGCCTTGTCCAGAAAGGTCAGTAGCATTTTTAGCTTTGACCAGCTAAAACACAGAGCGTGGCTCCTACTGTCTGTCACAACAAAATAGACAAGATGTTTGAAGGCAAAGAAACAATAGTGCCATTGTGCAGTGTGATAATTCTGCACATTTTAGATTCTTGTGTATGACTCACCTTGTTGTTAGCCAGGTACAAATAAGCCAGCTCTTCAAGCATTTCAAAACCTTCATCTTCAAGGCCTGAAAAATAGATAAAAATGTGAATATATATAGATATGCCTGCCACAAATTTATTGCATTATCCCAAAGGGGAGGTGGTATGTACTTTTCAGGCACCTGGTGCCATTTTATATCATAATCAAGATCATTTATATCTTGATTATGATATAAAATCAACTTAAACTGTTATGAAAATTATATATCCAGGATGACTTTTAAAAAAAATTACTTTGTAATTTATCATTTTGAAATTGGGCCACAGAGAAAAAGACCTGGAGATCAAAGCTGATTGGCCCATGAAATCATAATGTCACATGCATGCAAGTTTTTCAGTCAAACCTACATGTTTCAGATCACAAAATTTCAAAATCAGATAAAGCTACATAAAAAATGTAGCATTCAAGATGAATTCATTCAGTAGAGGAGAAATCTTATCCACACCACTCTGTCAAGACAATGTGTAATTTTTTAAATAACAAATTAACTGTGATTAACCACATTTATCTAATTCTGTTTCCCTTGCCATGCCTTCCTATCAGTGGAATTAACAAATCCCTTCAAAAGAACCTGCCTAACAACATGAAGTAGGCTAAAAGATCTGAAAAAGCAACACATAAAATCCTATTTAAGAAAAAATTAATATCCGATGAGATTCTGTGGAATGGTCAAACGATGCACAATTTTTGTAATGTGTGCATTGCGTAACATCTGGAGAGTCAAATATGGCAGCTGTAAGAGGATAGTCTGTGGCTGCTTTCATTCTTTTTGACCTTTCGATGGGATTCTGACATTTTCTCTCTCTGAGAAAACTCTGAAAGAGAATACTCCACTCTCGATCCAAGGACACTTGGGTTTTACAGCAGGAAAGTGATTCAAAGTGCACCAACAAGTCCAGATCTGAGCTTTTCAAATGTTACCAGATCAGATCATTTGAAGCGGCGAAAAGTCTGGACTTAAATCTAATCGAGTTGCTGTGACATGACCATAAACACACCATCCATGCTTCAAACCCTTTAGTGCAATTATCTTTAATACAATTATCTTCAGATAATTATAATACAATTATCTTAAATACAATTATCTTCAGATAATTGTATTAATTCAGCCGAGCGAATCGATGTCAACTCAGTGATCTGAAAAAAATCAGTGCCATGTTATCGCCAAGGCTTGATGGCAGTTTGTGCTCCCTAGAGTGGCACAGTCAACCATCTGCTGTGGATTGAGTGTTAGAAATGTTATTAATCCTCTCAAATTGTATTATGAATCTAAACTATGCTTTGTAGAAAGTTTTAATTCTCAAAACTTTCTATAAAAGTTTATTCTTTCGTTGAATAAACTTTACCGAGTCATCCCTGAAGGTTATTCTTAAAGGATGTAGCTTTGTAAAGTCTGGCTGACTCCTCAATGTTTAGGTGAATCTTCTGTTGTTGGTGATAAAACTCACTGCCTCTATCTGGCACAACGTTTTTCTTTGATCTGAACAACAACACTTGAGGGACAGAGCTCTCATATCTTTTACAAGCAATATTTCATATGTTTTTTACACTGAAAAAAACAGTTGGCAGCAAGTCCTATTACATTTTAATATTTTCATTATTCACTCATATCTGTGTTTTTGTTGGTAATTTTATTTGTATTTTATTTCTACTTTTGATCATTCCATGTGTTTCTAATGCATGTCAGAACACAGAGATCCTACAGAGTGTTGATTCTTGGTTACTGTGTTTACTCTCTGTGGAGAGTCAGTGTCTTTTTGTTTTTCTGTCCCACACACACACAACAAAAAAAAAAAACTCATCCTCCTGCTGCTTCCTATCATCTTCTTTGTCATTTTCACCAGAAATAACACCCGGCTGTTGATCATGTGACCTGTGTTGAGTGAAAATTGTTTCCATTGCAGTTTTGTGAAATAAATCTATTTTGATATGGCTGAAAAAACACCTCATCCCAGCACAAAAACCTTTAGAAAAACGTGAAGTTTTTGGGGGGGTTCAAATCAGGATGTTTCCATTTAGCAAAGTTATCTCTGGAATTTCAATTTGTGCAATTTTAAGTTAATGGAAATGCAATTTGTCTCACCAATTAACCAACTGGCATCTTGTTTATGGCATGCCCTGAATCATTCTGACTCAGCAGATTGACATCCTGTCTGCAGAGTTGAGGTAGGTATGGATGAATGAATCCTTCATTTGAATTCCAACAACTAAATTGAAGAAATCTGGGTGAACACACTCGTAGGTAAGCTTAATGTTGAATAATAATCTTATTAGCCAATCTTTGGGGTTAAAAATCTTAAAGAATGGCCTTTTTTGTGTTAAATCAGCTGCTTCTGTTTACATCTGATCCAGAACAAGGCTTACAAAATAACCACAAGCATGACATTTTTCACACTGCAGCCTTTTGACTTCTAACTTCCTGTATTGCTGACTACTCAAAACTCCATGTCATTTAAACAACACTTTCTGTCAAAAAATAAAAATTAATTCTTTCATCTCCATCCACTTCCATCGATTTCTTGTGACTATTTGCTGGAATCAAACACATGTTGGGACAGACCGCTGAACCAGGCAACAAGTGAAATAGCAGCAATTCCTCTGCTACTGACAGGTGCATATTAAAGATATTTACTTCAATCAGCCAATCGACAAAAAGCTGCACTGATAAAACTTTCCACTCTGCCTCTCTGCCTCTAAAATGCCCTTGGAACCATGTCTGCAGTTTCCCTCCCCAGTGAACACAGAGTTCCTGCGTAGTTTTGAGACTTGGTTACTGTGTTTACCCTCTGTGGTGAGCCAGTTGTTTTGGAGGTTGAGAGTCTCGAGCTGATGCAGATGGGAAATGTGCTCCACCGTTATTTCCTTGATTTTGTTGTTCTGCCATCAGGGAAAAAGATACGCAACATTTACAAAGGCAGACTAAAGTTCAGCACTTTGTGTTCTGAGCAATAACTTCATATTATGAATAGGTAGGTGTACTGCTGAAACTTATGAGCAATATGTGTGTGTGCGTGCACATGTGTGTGACTACTTGTTTAGTAGTATCTTTTGGAGACAAATAAACCTTATGAGGACCAAACATTGTTTTAAGACCAAATGCTGGGCCTAATAAAATGGACCCCTTTGTTTATATTTAGCATCAGGGTTGAGAAGTAAGGTGTGAATTAGTTTAAGGTTAGGATTAGCGTTATGCAAAATTGTCTGTATCAGGCATAAATATACTTACTGAAATAAATGGAAGTCAATGTAAGGTCCCAATATGGGTAGAAATACAAATTTGTGTCTGGGCCTGTGAACCAGAAATGTCCTTGTGGAAACATATTACTGTCTATATTGTGGTGTTGTGGTGATCACTGCTTCTTGTGGGGACAAATCCTGGTCCCCATAAGGGGAAATTGTGTTTTGGGGTTATGGGTTAGACAGATATGATAGAGTTATGGTTAAGAGTAGGGTTACGGGTAGGGTAAGGGTTTGGCTGTAGAAAATGAATGGAAGTCAATGTGAAATCCCCATGAGACACAAAAACACAACTGTGTGTGTGTGAGTGGGACCTGTAGAGAAAGTCGGCGGATCTTGTTAGGCAGCTCTTCGGGGAAGTCTGTCAGGTCAACCCCTGCACAGTCCACTGTTCCATCTGTTGTGCAGCTGCATTCTGAAGGGCATTCAGTTGTCACCAGTATTGCAGTGTCAGCTTCCTTTGCCGCCTCTTCCTCTTCTTCTTCCTCAGGTTCCACTGGGGTCTGGCAACGTACCAGCATCCACGCCAAGAGCATCACACTGAAGGCCTGCAGGATGGAACGCTTTGGGAAGTCCATGTCTACTGTTGATCTGTCCTGTTGCACAAGCAAATACACAGCAACAGTCATCTCCACTGTTCAATGAAAAAGCAACAATCTGTCTTCAGTTTTTCTGTTTTGTTTCAGCTCATTAAAGAAACTGAAATATCAGACTGAGATAACATCAGTAAATACAATAGCAGTCCCAAATGTTTTTCATCTTTAATGGAATATATCCAAAGATACCAGACTCTATGTGAGACTATAATTGACCCCTGAAACCTAATATCTGTTTGTGCCGCTCTTGGCAGCAGCAGCTGCCTCCAGTCATTCACAAAAGCTGACAATCACTGTGGAGGAAATTTAACACACTCTGCTAACTCAGCAACATTGGAAGGAAGATCAGAGTGTTTTTGAGCATTACCAACCTGTTTATCATCATGCCACAAGATATCAAACATTTTTACTTCTGAATTTTGACTACATCACTACACAACCTTTTTTCTTTCTTCATTTGTAGTTGGACTGCATATTTCATGAAACAAGGCAGTATATGCACCTCAGTGGATTATTGAGTGTAAGGTCACAAACTGGATGTTCATCTTCAGAATGTTCTCACAGGATTCTATCTTGATGTACACATTTCAAAATGTTTAATTCATATCTTATTACTCAGCAAAATATTTTTTCTTAATGTTAGTGATCTCCAAGATGGTTGGTAAATGTTATTAAGGCCTTTGCATTTTCTTTTTGACCAGTAGAGTTTTCCTTGGAATTCCCTCAGGAATCATTCACACAACATTAAGTTCAATAATTCTCCTTTGAGCCGGGGCTTTCAAATGGATGATCCAGCAAGATATCCAAACTTTTCATCTTTGGGTTTGTAGGTACTGATTACAGAAATGAAAGGTCTGCGTTTCCTAACGATCTAGCAAACTAGCTAATCTGTTCTCGTGTTTGAAATGATGTTATTATTAGTCAAGGAGAAGGCAGCTGTACTTGAGGTGGCAAAAAAAATACCTAAAATCTTTTTGATTGGGATATTTCATACCTCAAAAGAAACAAGTGAATAACTTTCAGGAAGTGTTCAGAGGTTCTTGCCACACCAGCTTGATATTTTTGACTAAGTACTCCATAGTTGTTGGAGACCAGGGAAAAAATAAGGTCTGTTGGGGTGAAGGGTCAAGAACAAGCTGCAAGCACACTCAGAGAATTATGGAGCCCTTGACTCTTATCCCCAGTACATGAGAGTCTTCTCTGAGATCTCCTTCATTCAGGACTGGATGAAGGAGATCCTGCAGCCCAAACCAGGGCTGCAGTAATAGAAGAGTGCTGTTTCTTACTTGTAGCCCTGGGAGGGAAATAAATGTCTTTGGTCTTGCAGACTGTGCAAAGACCTTAAAGAGTCTGACATGCTTCATCCATAGCTTCAAAATATAGACGCATGACAAAAATGGCATCTTCCTGCAGGGAGCAGTCTTCCTCTCATTCTCACAGAGCTCAGTGCCATGTTTTGTATGATTGGTCAGAAGTTTGTATTTATGCAGAAATGCGTTCGGACTGTAGAGTTGATATTTCACTGCAACTTGTCTGCTTCCACTATCCAGTTTTTCTATCCACAGTTGATGTTGATACTTTTGAGGAGCATTTATCAAACGCAGCGACAAGAGTTATTTTGTCACCACAAAATACCTCCTATAATGACTGTTAAATGGCCAAAGGCTCCTGGATGAAAATTTCAAGGCAGTGGTTCACAGAGGAGCCAGTTTGCAGAATAGTGTGGCTGTTTAGTTAAAGTAAAATGGAGGATGGAGGAACAGAGTGGAGACGCCAGTGTGGCGTAAACGGAAGGTCAAACGGTGTTCAAAGGCGATCTGTGCCGTGTGTGAAAGAATACAAACGTCCAGCAACTACATGACCGAGTGTCGACTGTTGGCTTCAGGTAAATCTACTTCATGTTATCAGGCAGGTTTTTATTTAAACAATTCCTTGATTCTATAGCATTAGCGGTCCTGGTCACACTGAACTCAGTTTCAAAAAGAAATGCAGCAATTTTAAGAGACAAAATCATCATTTGAAATTGTTTTGATTACCTGAAGCATTCAAGCGTGACATCACAGGAAAAACAGAAGCAATTTATAGTGAAGCAAATTCTCACAGATCCGGTCTGGATGTAAACCAGTTAGATTTAAAATATTTCACTTCAAATCTGTCTGGATTTCAATCACTAACATATAAAAATAAACATTATGAGCACATTTCCACCAGTAGCAGAAGGTCAGCTCCCAAGTGTAAAGTCTAATTTAAAGAAACAAAAGCATGACATATCGACATATCATATTTGCTCTGCTTTTTCTAACTTCACCAGCGATTTGAAGTCTTCAGCAAGGTGTGTTCAAACTTCTACAGCAACATACTGCTGTAATTTATTCTTTCTTGAGCAATTCCCCCCAAAAAATAATGCTTCATTACATCCTCTGATTCTGACAGAGATACTGTTATGCACTCAGAGCTGCTCTCAAGGCAAGCTTCTAAAAGCTGTCCATCAAAGGAACCCTTTCAGGCTGTCGCAAGGCAACAACTAATAGAAACAGCTTAAAAAACATGGGCTAGAGTAGACTGAGCGCAGCGAGCACTTAGTGCACACATAAAAACATCACAGCAATCAAGGGTCATAGAGAAGCTTAAACCCAGCTATAAGAGAACCAGTATCCCACTAAAAGTTGTCATTTATGGGCTTAAAGTACAAAATAGAGATGCCCGGTACTTTTATGGCTTTGCTCTGTTTTCATGCTGTTTCTGAGCAGAGCAGAGGTTGTGAAGAGGCTCTGCTCATATTTAGCTGCACTGGATTGTCTTAACACATACCAGAAGGCAGAACCGTCATGCATAAATGAATTACCTTGACTCTGGAAACTCAGTGCGAGCTCTGTCCAACATAACAGCCAACCGCAAATCATGCAGCAGTTACTACACTACTTTACCCCCTTCTGAACAACATTTGCTGAAAAGAACCGAAGTGTGATATCTGGTCCAAGCTGAGGCTGTCCCATAGCAGGCGAGGAGTCACAGATCTGCAGCAGAACCCCCTCCAGATGTGAAGTGAGAGAGGGAAGGTTAAAGAGAGAAGAAGGCAGGAAGACGTGACAAGGAAGGGAGTTTGGAGGAGGGTCAGCCAAAAACGCAAATTCTTCCTTGTTTCTGCTCTTTTAAAAAGAAAAAAGGAACCATGAAATTTGGGTTTTAAAAAATATCTTCACCATAATGTTCTCAGATTTAAAAAAAAAAAAAGGATATTCATTATCCTAATTCTCAGGACCATGAATTATTGTTGCACCAATTTCTTGAATTATATGAGGAAAACAAAAAGGTAAACCATCCAGACAAAATAGTAAAGTAAAAGAGCAGCAAGTCACAATGTTCACAGGAAGTAAAGGGAAGTAAAATGTAGCAAAACACATTGAAAGAAATAAAAATTTAACTTAGACTCATTAAAATTAAACTCCAATTGGGACATTTTTATTTGGATTATTTGCAGAAATCTCAATTGAAACAATATCCAAGAAAGACAATAGGTAGATGAGGATGACGTCAAGGAAAATGGGCGTGGTGCAGGTGGATGCTGTTTCAGGTTCTTTGGGGTTTCCAGACGTTGATGAAGGAGATCTCAGGATCTCAGGAAGTAACAAACGAGCCAGCAGGCAGGGAGTGAGGAGCAAAATCAAGAGCTGCATCATTCTTTTAGAGTCTCATGCAAAAATATTCATTGTAGTTTCACTTTTTCAACAAAACTCATAACTATGGAAGGAATTAAAGCTCATAACTATGGAAGGAATTAAAAATAAACTAAGCAAAAGTCTTTATCTGAAAGGTGTGGCATTTATTCATGTTCAGTCCTGTTGAGTCGTTAATTTCGCTGCAGCTGTAGCTGCCGTTCTTCTCCATTTCTATCTCTACTGCCTTTGCGCATCTAGAAACTGAAATGTTTGCCCATTTTTCTTCCAACATCGCTCAGCCTAAATGAGATTGGAGTAAAAGAGTCTGAGAAAAAAGGAATATTGTAGGATCCAGAGCATTCCATTTCTATCTCTGGTTTTATGTTTGCGGTAGTTTTCTTGTTGCAAGGCCACCTTTCTCTCCAGCCTGAAATCTTTTGGAGCTTTTTACAGTTTTTCCTCCAGGATTCACCATGCCGTCCTTTCTGACCTGCCAGCTGGTCTTTGGTCTCCATTATTTCTCCAATGTCCTCTAACAAACCGGATCCCTTCACAGAACAAACAGATTTATCCTGAGATTAAATTACAAACAGGGGGATTCTGTTTCCTGGGGTTAGAAAGTAACTTCATTAACCTTCAGGTTTATGTTGAGGGTCAAATTGACCCACTTTAAAGTTTAAAACATTTTTTAAAATACTTGAAAGTATTTTTTTTCCTGAAACTTTTTCTATTTGTCTTAATAGGTGCACTCTACATATAAATTGAAAATGTATTAATTTTACACATTTGTAACCCCCCTGCATCTACTTTCTACATAGATACTGTTTGAATCAATTTGGCCCAGCAGTCAAGTTGAAGTGCAAAAAATTATTTTAAAAAATTTCCAATTCTACGCTTCCTTGTAGCTATGAACCGTATTTCACCACACACACACACACACACACACACACACACACACACACACACACACACACACACACACACCCACACACACACACACACACACACCCACACACACACACACACCACACACACCCACACACGCAGACACACACACACACCACACACACACACACACACACACACACACACACACCCACCCGCACACCCCCACACACACACACACACCCACACGCACACACACACACACACACACACACACACACACACACACACACACACACACACACACACGCATATATGCACACGTGCACACACACAAGCCCACTTTCTCACTATTGTCTTTACTCTCTTAACTTCACTAGGAAACTGCGAGAAAGTACGCAACTTCTGTTCCTGTGGGCAAAGTCCACCCACACTGAGTGGACACTCAGCAGAGCAAAATCAGAAGAGGAGGGAAACGTAAATACTCTCTGCATGACTCATTTGTCTTGATTTTAATCAGTGGGTCAATTTGACCCTGAACAGTATGTGTGTCTCAAGTTCAAAAATAAAGATCACCCATTGAAAAAAAATCAATTGTAATATAAAAAAATGTACCAGAGATCAATTTCAAGGAAATTATAGTTTTTTGTGTGTCCATGTTTTTTTCAGTGGACATAAAAAAATGCAATTTAATTTTTTATGTCGGCGGAAATTTTTAGTTTCTGATACTTTTGCGTGATTAAGCACTCCCGGGATCAAATTGACCCACAAACATTATTGCTGTACCTCAGAAACAAACATAACAGGAGGGTTATATTATTATAACTGGGGGTCAATAGAAACACTTTAGAGATGTTGAAAACTGTTGATCAATCTAGTGCATTATCAGGAAAAACCTTGTTTCAGAAATACCCTCTAAAAATACTGATGTATACGTAACTTAACAATGAGGTTCAAGTTGAACACTTGAAAAAAATATTTAGTTTTCTATTAGATATAAAAGAACAAACTATTGCTATGTTGAAAGAAACTGTGTCCTTTGAAGAGTGCTTTTGTAAGCATGTATAAATCAAACTGAACTGCACTTTGTTCAATGGGAAAAGACTGAAAGATGAGCCTTCATCAACTTTTTGAGTTCAGAAACAAAAATCCCTTTCAGAACCATAACTGTAAAGTTTATTAAATCCAAAAAAATCCCAGAGAAATGCCTCCAAAACTCTAAATATCTATGCTTACCATTTGTGCTTTTGAAGATTACAGACAAAATGTGGAGGTGGTTGCAGGGCAGGTGAGAGATTCAAAATCCTGCTACCACAGTGAAGTGCCTGGATCAGGAAGAAGAAAGGAAGGAAGAGGAGGAGGCAGATTTACAGAGGCTGGAGAGTGAGAAGATGATTGGTCCAGATATCGCCCTGCTAAGGGACGGAGGGGTCAAAGAGAAAGGTCAACCAATTGTTTCACTCAAGAGTGAGAGAACATCTGAGGAATGAAAAACTTCAACAAATCATATAGGAATGAACGTTGTTTCACATAGTTTATTTAAAATGTTCCAAAATGGAGTGCAACTGTTTGAGATTATTAATCGTTTAGGTTTTATAGAAACCTAAAAGACCCAATATTTCATTGTTGTTACCACTGTGGTTCGTTTCTTGTCAATGTTTTTCTTCACAATAAACAGAATCAAATACTTGAAAAGGAAAAGATATTGGATGGTTTTTCTTTTTTGACATGTTGCAAAAACAAACAAGGGAATACACTTTAAAGCAGTTTGTTGCGTGAGCCAACTTCATATGAAATCCAAAGGATTAACTCTGGCATGTCCCCCAAGGCTACGTGTGACAGCAGATGAGAGAATCATTTTAGCAGCACAACACTTATATTAAGTCATATTCATCAGCATAATTAAAAATAAGAACTGATGATGCTTCTTGATAGAGACTCTTATTAGCCAGGGGAATATTTTCACAACTTCTTACATTAAGTACCATGATTGGGGAAGAGGAACCTGGGATTCAAAGTAAACAAATAAAGCCATAATAAATAGATATCTTAAAGTGGGACTAGGACAAGGTGTTTTTTCATTTTTCATTAGTGGACACAGCTGGTGGAGATGCAAGGAGTTGCTGTGCAGAAGGTCAGTGAGCTTAAAGCAAACAACAGTGCACATAAGAGACAAAGAGCGCTGGGGTAACTTGGGGTGGCAGAAAACAGACAAGAGGAGCTGAAGACTGAAGATGATGAAGATGCGTTGTTTTCTCTGGTTTCAAATTTTGGTTTTCACACCATTAGAAATCAGTGTATAGACGCACAAGAGCTGAAATCCAGCAGTGAGAAAGTCATCTCACTCCTTTTTGCCCTGGAGAGTTCACCCTGAGTTAAAACAACAAGTCAGGCTTTCTGCAAATTCTTTTCTGTTTATTTAGGAAATGACTTTCAACAGCCCACTCCTCATCACCTCAAGCTGTTACATTATGCCAGTGGAGCAGAATGGAGTGCCTTGCACTGTTCTCGGACACAATGTAAAGACATGTTTGTCCTCAACGTAACTAAAAAGGTTATGTAGTGTTACATTTTTCCCCAAAAATATGTCCTAATGACTAAATGACAGATAAAATAATAGTTTTGTTCAAACCATCATACCAAAAACATCCCTGTTCACATATTGCGCCCCCACCCCTCACCACCCATCCTCTGGGATGGACCTTGTACCCCTCCACACTCTGTGGATCGCTGGACGTGACGTGTATCTGGATCCTCTGGACGGCCTGTTTTGCCCTCTTCATTCCTTGCAGGCAGTTTTCTCTTTGGCACCTTGACTGTCAGTCTGCCACCGAACCTGAACGCAGCGTCCTTTGACCTTCAGCCGAGACCTGACCTGGTTGTGGTCACATTCTCTAAACACTTCTGGTAATATTCAATTATTATGTTGCTTTTCGTACTTACTTATCATAAGCGAAGTTACTTATGTAGTTTCTTGAGTAGTGCTTCAAAAGTGAGATAGCTTCACAAATGACAACCAGAATTTCAATTTTCATCCTGCTGTAGATGAAAATTGCTGTTGATCAGAAGCTGGTGGTGAGGTGCTAATCACTGCTGGCCGCCTTTTTTTATTGCACACGATGCACAAAACATTATTAAGCTGAAACTCGGCCTGGTCGCAAAAGTCATCTGAAAATTGAACAGTATGTGCCCAGATAAATCTGAGCAGAGAATGAATGAATGAATATTTCTATTTGCCCATTCACGAGGCGGTGCTGCAGGACTATGACACGGTGAAAGTTTTTCCAAAAGCCAAACATAATTGAAACAGATGGAGTATGCTTGAGTCAGAGTCATTACCAGATGGATGAAGAGGTTGAAAAGGTTAATGCTTAAAGGTTGAGTACCTTTGTTTGATGGAAGATACTCTTTTTTTTTTATGTGAAACCATTAATTAAGCATATCTCCTCAATTGCAATCAGCCTCGTACTTTACATTATCTGTGTCTTTTTTTATTCACTCCAGTGAAACAGACAGTACAAAATAAATGCAACACAA